TAATCCCGAACCAGTTTGGTTAAAAGTTCGAGTTCCTGGACTGCACGGCTAAACACACGACATGTTGTTCTTGCACCAGGCCTTTCAGGCTCTCCACCTGCACGTTCACCGACGCGGACTTTGTCGTCGGAACCGGCGGCGCAGGGCCCGGCTCGCGGGCGGGGCGCGGAGGTTCCTCCAGCGCGGTGTCGCGCATCCAGGTGCCACCTCCGGTGGAAGGACCCGACTCTTCGACCCAGTTGGGTACCCCAGGTTTTGCGGGGTTTTGTTGAGGTCACTGGATACCTCTCTTGGCTGGCGTGCAGCTCGCGTCGATCGAAGAGCTGAGCAATCATGGTTCGAAGTCAGCGGATGACATGGATCGTTGCAAGCCAACCCTGAGAGCATGCCAAAGTCAAAAAGATGACATTGGATAGCCTCGCCTTTCACCGAAACCACTGCACTTCGACATGAGCCACATGCAAGTGGTTGTCCCACATGTTTTTTCCTGTCACATGCTTCTATAAGGCCACATTGCATCTAAAGTTGACGCAACAACCAGGAAACGAAGAGGCGGTGAGAGCCATGACTGACTGACAGCCTGTTGCATCTCTTTCGGATGTACCCTGCATCTGAAGACGCTTGCAGAACCCACCGGCATAGAACGCAGATAGCAACTGACTCTATAAACAAAGGCACCTGATATTTAAAGAATCGAAAAAATTCACCGGAAAATCCAGAGAAGTGGGAAGATAGATAAGGAGACACGTGGGGAGACAAAGGCGGCAGCAGGTGGACCGGAAAATGCAAGTTTACCGAGTCGAAGTGAGAAGTGAGAAGCCCGTAACATACCTGTTTCGCTTCGAAACACCTCTGGGGAACCATCACAATCACATGTCTCTTCGACACTCCCCGACCCACCCTCGACCCTCGACCCCTCGCCTGACTTCGGCTTCTTCGGCGAGGGACTCCGGTCCCGCCGTGGACTTGGACCCGGGACCGCGGCCGCCGGAGCGGGGAGCCGTGGGGCGGGCGCGGAGCCACGGGACGGCGGCAGCGTGGCGCTGGGAGGAGCCTCACAACTCGAGTTCCAGCACCCGTCACACAAATGAGGAGCTAACTCTAGTAGGGTCACCATTCTTGGACCTGGGCATGGGCTCGCGGCCTCTTTCCTGGTTGTTCAGCCCTTTTTGGGGGATCCGAGTCCGGACCCCTCCTATTTGAAGGGGTCGAACGTTCGGTGGAACCCAACCCCCCTCCGGATCGCCCTTCTCCGCGTCCACTGCTCCGCCCCGCCTGAGGAGTGCCTCGCCGTGGACTTCTACGGCCCTTCTCGGCGTCCAGCAGCGGCTCTGACAGCGGCGGTCTCTGCAGGACAACCTCCGAGGCACTCTCCGGCCGCGAGCGTGGTCGTTGGTCGGTTGGGTTGGGTTGGGTTGGGTTGGGGTGGGAGAGAGGTCATGAGAGCCCCATGTGGTCGAAAGGTGAGAGCTGAGGATCTCAAGAACTCAGGTACCATTAATTATTAGCATCGGAGTTCGATCGATCCTTTGCCAAAAGGAACTTGGGGACCCTCCTTCCCCTCATGACTGGCCCTCCTCATCTCATCTCATCTCATCTCCTCATCTCCCCCCCTCGCCTGTGACACTCGCGCTAAGCTGCCCAAGGTCTTCTCGACCAGCGCACAGCAGCCCCAGACCACCAAGGCCCAGGCTTGGGGCGCTGGGAGGCCGCCCCGGCGCAGCACCACCAGGTCGGTCAACCGGAACCTACGGGGAGACCGTTGGGGGGCTTCGTTCAGCCGATCTGGTCGTTCAGCCGACCGAAAACGGGATGTGAAACACGAAATGGCAAGAAGTCTGAGACCTTGCTAGCCAAAGGCATCCAAAGGCCAAATATCGCCTTCAGGGACTTTGGCCACCTCCGTCGTTGGCTAAGCTTCTTTCAGTTCTTCCCGTGACCCGGAAAAAGACGATGCGAATTTCGGCCGGTGGCACAAAAAACAATGCTTCTTCACAACGAAAGTGATCACACCGAGCCGTGCTCGCGTCCAGGACGCATCTTCCAGCTAGGACACTGAAAGGCTCGGCACAGGCAGCAAAGCACCAGCATGCTGGGGCCTGCTGCGGAGGCGGAGGTGTTCGCGTTCAATCCAAAAAATATCCTGGTTCTCCGGTCTACACCCCACAATGCCCTCTGTCCAAGGTGGCCTCAGGCGCCGGACCTGAGTTGAAATCATGTCTCCTCGTCTTCTCGTCTCTGTCGTTGGATGCACCCACGGGGCCCAATCCGCCTTCCAAGTCCAGCCAATCAAAGGGTGCCAGCAGCACTTGCAGTAGCCAATCAAAGAACGAAGGTATCTGCAAGAACGTCAGCGCACACTGAGAGATGCCAACACATAGAAGCCACATCCCAAGCTGCTGGAAATACCTCAGAGCTGTGACCGTTGGCTCATTTTGGTCAACACAACATCTTCCATGGCCCAAACCAAGAGACTCACCGGTTGACCACGAAAAGAAATGGACTATGCACAGACTATGGACAGACAGCATGTTCTTTGCATGTGCTGAATCCTCTTCTACCAGGCTCATCAACCTCACATCGCAGGGTCACCCGCCCCACATCCACCAGCGCTGACGACGGAAGATCCGCTCCCACACCTCAGGGCGTCAAAGACCTCGGAGTCGTCCAGGTACTCGCCCGTGCGCAGCGCCTCGCGTGGGATTGTCCGAGGTCATCCGAGGTCACGAAGCGACCGGGGAAGCGACCGTCCAAACCCAGGTGCTTCGGGGGGGGGCCTTTTCTTTGTTGGGTTTTGGGGGGACGTTGCTGCTACCTCTCCGGCCGAGCTTCACGGATCCAAGGGGCCGACGGAACTGGGGAGAGGTTTGCCCGGATGGGAGGAAGGTGCCCAAGCGTTGTGGCGCCCGCCGTTGGGCGATTTGGACACAGGGTGGTGGGGGGGGCACCACCGAGTGGCGCCCCTCCGGCATACGCGCTGCGGATGTGACTCTGGTAGAGAGACATGCTCAACTTGCGGCATGTTCAACAGCCGAGCGCCTTCTGAAAGATCTGCTCGAAGAGCAGAGTGCCATTCCGCAGCAGGAGATATTCGAAGCCAACCCCGGCTGTGGCCTAGCGATTCCCCTTCAGATCTCACCCATGGGGATTTCATCTGGAATGCAAAAGGAAAGCACATCTTGAATCTTTGAGCATTCTTCCATCCACTTCGATTGAAAACACACGGGCAACAAGAAGAGCCCACTGGCCGGTCCCTCCCATCCGTGCCCCTCTCGCCTGGGCCAGCGCCTCGGAGGCGGAGGACGACACGTCCAGCAGCCAGAGGCTCCAGAGCCCCAGCAGCTGCTTCGACGCGTCCAGCGCGAAGTCCAAGACGCTCCGATCGCCTCCGATCGCTCGGCATTCGGATGGATGGTTGGAGCGTGGTGGAAGCCGTGCTGTGCTGTGTTCCCAGGGAGTCAAAGACTATAAAAAGAATGGTCTGACTAGGGGACCTGAAAGGGAACTTCCTTTACTTCAACCGGTCAAAATATAGTCTTTGGACTTCTAGGGTGTTTGTGTTGGAAGGAAGGGAAGGATTTGGTCTCCGTGCCCTTTCCGCGCCCTTTCCCCGCCTTGAGCGCCCAGGAGCGCCAGAAGTCCTGACGGGGGCACCGGTAGACCAGCGCATGTGAGGAGCCAATTGGCCAATTGAGGCAACCAAACATCCACCCTTCTTTTTGGAGGTCAGACTCGCCGACCTGGTAGACCCTGCACCTCTGACCCTCAACAGTCCACCCAAGTCCAGCTCGACCAGTCGGACCGACCGTCCAAAACCCGCTGGACCGAGACGTCTGACGGGCGTTCCTGGACCGACATGGAGGTCCGGAAGACCTCTATTAGGGAATGGTAAAAAGAGGGGTTCTGGTTTGGCAGGAGGTGGCGGCCAATGTGGCCTGAAAACAGAAGTCAAAAGGAAAAACACCTATAGCGCTTCGGTTTGGGGTGTCCTGTCGACCTCTAAGAGGTCTCAGGTGCTCTAATAGGTCTCAGGCTCCAGCCAGGTGCCTGGCAGCTGGTAGAGATCAAGTTCCCTAAACCCTGCGAAACTTGGTAGAGAAATGAAGGAATCAGAGCCACCCAACTCTCCAGATCCGGATCGGCTAAGCAGGACTTGCCGAGTACGCCCGTCGGTTTGGGCCGTTCGGCCGAGTACGTCGGGTTTTTCTCGGAAGCCGCTCCTGTGAGGACCTGCAATGTGCCCAACATGGCGTCGCCTGCTGGCGGTTTGCTGGCGGCACTCGCCCGCTGGCGCTTTAGTCACTCGCTTTCGTGGACGAGAAACTCGCTCTGTCCGCGCTTTCCCCGCCAGGAAGATGGCGGCGAAGGGAAGATGGATTGCGCTTGGGCAAAAGGAATTCCTGTCAGCATGGTCTACCAGAGCGGCAGTGTTTAATATTGTGCCAATTGTGCCACACCAATCTAACCGACCTGCCGGTAGACCTGAATCTATGTACTAGCCCTGCTTCCAACCGCACTCATTCACCTTCAGCTACCTATACGAGTAGGTTCGAGTAGCTATTCCAATTGAAGCTTGCTGATGTTTGCCTTGAAAACAAAGCGTGTCCACTCTTTTAAAGCTCAAGACCTTTTCAAGGTCACTTCCTTGAAAAGCTGCGGTAAGCACAACGGGCACAACACATGGCAGCATCTTTCCTCAATTTCATGCCTGGCGCATGCCCCTTTCTAAGTGTCAAAGTCGACAACGAGAGTGAAAAAAGAAAACGAGATTCAGCCACCAAAATGTCTGGAGTTCCTCCCCCCGCCGGGCGGGCTTCACATCGATTCACATGGCGGATTGGAACCGGGGTCGAGACCTAAAAAGAAGTGTTGGTATCATTCTAATCAAAGTATCATAAGTCTCATGCCTTCGTCGCATCCTTCGTCCAACTTCCCACACCAACTTTGGTCTCCACCGATCGACCGATCGGCGCAGCGAGACCGCGGTGTCTGCTCCGCACCTTCCACCGCCCCAGCGCCCACCTCAGGACGCCGTTGCGCGCGCGCTACGAAGTGCGTGCAGCGGCGTGGTTTCGGCAGGCCACGTGTGCAGGTGGAACGGAAGAAGCGAAAGAAAAATACAAAACAAAAGCAAAAGAAAAGAGGAGAAACCAGACATGTGGCGCAAAAGAACAGGTTGCCTTTTTCCCATGTTTGGTGTTCACTTTCGGTGCTTTTTGGCTTGCGAAAGAAGCCACCGGGTCCACCCTCCTTCCTTGGGGTCCCCCCACGGGCGTCTCTCCATCTGCGCCTTCTTTCCATCCGCCCTCTCGCTCGGCCGTCTCCTTCAGGAGGAGGACCGAGTGCTTCGAGGTGCACGGTGTGGGAGCGTGTTTGGTGTGTTCATCCTCAAATCATGTACCAGCAGCACCCGACTGGTCCAGGTCACCTTGCTTGAGACCTGAGACAGGGTCCCAACAAATTTCTATCCCTAAGAATCCGGGCCCTCAAACAGATAGGGTTTTGAGGGCCCGGACCCCTGCTATGGAGGGTCCGACCCCTGCCATGGAGAGCCCAAGGATTCTTAGGGATAGAGAAAACCTGTTGGAGGGTTTCTGGGACCAAGACCCTCTCCTCGACAGGTCTTCGTGAGACCTGGGCGGCCCTTTTCAACCCGAAAAGCGACCAGGACCTTCCAAGCCGGTTTTGGGATTGTGCTGGCACAGAGTGTTCCTGGTATTCCAGCTCTGGCCCCCACCCAAAAAGGCATCAACCATCAACCATCAACCCCTTCCTCCCCCACGCCATCTCTCCGTTCCGGGAAAAACATCAGCCGCCTCCCCCTCCCTGGAGCCTCGATCTCGTCGAAATCGAACATCCGCGCCCCAGGACGTCAGTCGGGAGACGGCGCGTTCAACGCAACCCGCGGAGTGCCCAGGGGTTGCGGGTCGAAACGCAGGTGGAATCTGATTTGAAGGGGGGCCATTTCGTGAAGCTCCCTCGATCTGGTCGACCCATCCAATGGGCCTAAAGGTCTGCATCCAATGGGCCTGAGACAGGTGCTACCTGTCTGCAGCCCCCGATCTCTGGGTTTTTGGACAGCTGCAGCTGCGACGTCTTCGTCTCTGCTTGGCGAAGAAAGGGGCTGCGCCCGAACTCTTCGGCCCTTCGGCTTCTACCGAACCAGACCCGGGCCATGGACATTGGAACGAGGCGTCCCCTTCCGTCGGACCACCGAACGGGACCCGAAGAAGGATCCCCCCAACCGGGAAGGAGGTGCCGACCCACACGTTCGGTGGCGAGGGAGGAGTCGGTCGACCCCTAACTAGTACTAGACTTGATTTCACACAGCCTGGAGAACTCTACCTGGAGCTTCCAGTCAACGTCTAGAAAAAGAGAGGAAAAGAAGTTCGGCTGAAGCCCATCTTGTTCGTTGCTTGAGAACCATCCTGTCGTCTGTTTTTCATGTCTTTGGAGCCCCATCCCAAAAAACAACCGAAAACGCGCCGAAGCGACGCGCCCGGTGTCGCCCGTGTCTCACTTCCCCTTCCGGTCACTCCGGTCGTGCTTTCGACCCGTGTTTCGCCTCCGTCACTCCGGTCGCCTTCCAGCCGGTCGGGTCGGGTCGCACCAACGGTCCAACTCGCACCCGGTCCGGTCCGGGAGGATCCCTTTTGGTCCGATCGCGGCGTCGGAGTCGTTCTCTCAGTCGTCTCTGAAGTGTCGCCTCTGACAGATGCGGAGCAGACCGCTCCAAAACGCAGGAGAAAACGCCCAAAACCCGAACTGTGATGGCCAAACTGGCAGAGTTCGACCGACCTGAGGTAACCCACAGAACCCAAACAGAACCCAGTGCCCCATCCTGCCCCTGTCAGAGGACGACGCCGAAACTGTCGGCCGCCCCATGAAACGGCTGGAAGTGTTCGTCCAGCGACGTTCGTTAGGTCTCCAGAACGGTCTGGAGAAGGGTGGCCCTGCTCATGACTGTTGAGCAATAAGGTGCTTCAGAGTAAAAGTACTTGGTATTTAATGTAGATAGACTAAGTCGGTGCCATCAAGAGCCATCAAACACCAACCAGGAACATCCAAACCCGGTCAAAACATGTCACATGTCACATGTTCCAAAATGCGCCGAACATGGCTGATGAGACATGTTGCTACATCCTGAAACGTCTCTTTCTGCTACATTCCAAAGAAGACCATGGCTCTGTTTTTGGCTGAAACTGGACGCTCGAAAGGCTGCGAGGGAGTCATGGTAGTCGCCACAAGATGGCTCCAGGCTTCAAGACTCTGTGAGCCATAAGTACAGTGACCCCAAAATGAAGATACAGTAAACTCCTCTCCAAACATGACTTGTAAATCGAATCTCAAATCCGTTCATACTGGTTCTGTCATGTTCTGTCTATTTCCGGGCTGTGCCAGAAACATGACTGCAACCAAACAAGAACAACCAACACTGGAGACACAAGCATGTAGTCTACTACTCCTGCCTACAAATTTTGGTCATCAAGAACGAACATCTTCCGATTGCACGGCAACAGGGTCGCTGTTCGTGTCTCGGCTCGGCTGGTGATGGCTGGTGCGAGTGTCGCAGACGTCTGCAAAGCTCAGGAGGTGTTTTGAAGCGTTCAAATACAGAAAGATCTGGCGGATGCGCCTTCGCTAGGAGCGGGCGAAAATGATACGTCCAAACAACCAGAACCATCCTGCACTGTCCTGGCTGGACTCTGGCTCTGCCGATGGGAATGGCCTCGCCGCATCGGTCCGCGCGCGACGTGGCGCCCGAGCTGGTCGCGACGCGGTTGAGCTATCTTTCGAAGAGCTTGGCACCGAGTGCAGATTGGACGGACTCGGTCCCAGGGCTGCGGTAGAGGTCCACAGCTGACCGGTAGACCTTGATCTTCGGAACGCACGGTTGACAAGATCTTGCTCAGACGGAGATTGTTGGGGTGAAGATCTATCAACCCAGTTCCCTGCAGTGTGTTGCTTTACAGAGAGTTGAAGGCTTCGGTTTAACTTGAACGCCAGGACTTCGACCTGATTTTGAGATATTTTGAGTGGATGTCTCACCCAAAACGGTACGCTTGAGCGACCAGTGTCTCAGGTTCGATGTGCCATGTGATGTGTCAAAGCAGACAGAAGGAAGGTGCAGAAGTGGGATGAAGAGACGAGCGCTGAAAAACGAGGACCAGGGAGGTTGAAAGCCGGCCGAATCGGTCGAGCCAGCGGTTTTCTTGGGGGTTCGACGAGGAGCCTGGCAGAAGGCAGAAGATCAGAATGCTCGAAGGCAGACGGTGCATTGCAGAAGCGTCAGAGGTCTTCAGTCTTCGCTTCACACGGGCGCCTACTGCGGTGCTATGTCACTGTATGCTCATCAGCTAACATCATAAATCATAGGGATCCTGAGAGTTATTTGATGTTATTTGTTCGGTGGTCGGTATCGGTCCGTATTGGTCTTGCTGTGTTTGAAGCCTACTGGTTTTGAAGTTTCAGCCTTCTCCGAAGAGAGAGAGAGAGAGAGAATGCAACTGCTAATTCAATTCCAAATAAAGACATGTTTTTGGTTCAACCTCCCATCTTTGACCCAGAAAAACAGCTGTTCTCTTAGTCAAGCTCCGACCCCCGAACCAGGGGCCCCCCTCGCAGCGGCGAGCCAAGAACTCTCGGCCTTCAGTCCGGCGTGGCTTTTTCTGTGCGTAAGAACTTCGCGGCGAATTCCCGGCGTGGAGCAGATCGCTCCGGTGCCACCCATCGTCCGAAGACGACCGGCGTGGGCGACGCCCGCTGCGCTGTCGTGATCCCGGTCGTCAGTGACGAGCCGTTTTGGTTGGAAGACAAGGGAAGGAGCGGTGATCCAGGAGCTTTCAGTGGTCAAAAGGGTGCTATCCCATGGAAGGAGGAAGGAGGAAACCGCCCCGAACATCGGACGAGCCACGCCACTCTGGCCTCCATGTGACCTCTAAGGTGGATGTTGCGGGATGCGTATCTACTCTAACAAACCAATGGTAATCTGCGGCTTTTGGAAAGGAACTGCTTCACCCGTGTTCGGAATCATTTGGGGTTGGACATGGTTGGACCAAAAGGAAGCAGCGGACGCCCCCGTCACCTGCCAGGTCGCACGCACCTGCACGCCACTGTCGGCCTTCCAGAGTCGAACTTCCTCCAGAGCGGTCTGGAGCGAACTGCTGCAGTAGTCCGTGAGCCGAGACTGAGCGCGGCTGCATCCCGCTCTGCGCGAGGTGATCGCTGGCGTGCTGAAACAGAACTCCGGAGTAGAGGGGGGATGCTTTTTGGCTTCGAACAGCTCCAAATTCGCACCTATGACCAAACAAAATGCTTCCACAAAGAGATGCACCGAGACGGGCTCCATCTGAACTGCTGCAATTTCACTACTCGAGTTTGACATCCGGGCGAGAAGACTGGCTCCAGTTGTGACAGTCCCACTGAGTCCAAAACCCGGACTGGGAAATCGAATCCATCAGGAACAGCTGCAAATGGTAAAGAAACATGGCAGTTCCATGGAGGAAGAACGGATGCTATCCATGGAGGAGGAGGCCATCAGCTAGTAGGTTGGAGGCCATGGCTTCTAGGTTGGAGGCGACCGCTAGCAGGTTGGAGGCCATGGCTTCTAGGTTGGAGGCCATCAGCTAGTAGATTGGAGGCCATGGCTTCTAGGTTGGAGGCCATTGCTTCTAGGTTGGAGGCCATCAGCTAGTAGATTGGAGGCCATGGCTCCTAGGTTGGAGGCGATCGCTAGCAGGTTGGAGGCCATCGCTTCTAGGTTTCAGCTAGTAGATTGGAGGCCATGGCTTCTAGGTTGGAGGCGATCGCTAGCAGGTTGGAGGCCATCGCTTCTAGGTTGGAGGCCATCAGCTAGTAGGTTGGAAGCCATGGCTTCTAGGTTGGAGGCGATCGCTAGCAGGTTGGAGGCCATCAGCTAGTAGGTTGGAGGCCATGGCTTCTAGGTTGGAGGCGATCGCGAGCAGGTTGGAGGCCATTGCTTTCAGGTTGGAGGCCATCAGCTAGTAGATTGGAGGCCATGGCTTCTAGGTTGGAGGCGACCGCTAGCAGGTTGGAGGCCATTGCTCCTAGGTTGGAGGCCATCAGCTAGTAGATTGGAGGCCATGGCTCCTAGGTTGGAGGCGATCGCTAGCAGGTTCGAGGCCATCGCTTCTAGGTTGGAGGCCATCACCTAGTAGGTTGGAGGCCATGGCTTCTAGGTTGGAGGCCATCAGCTAGTAGATTGGAGGCCACGGCTTCTAATTTGGAGGCAACCGCTAGCAGGTTGGAGGCCATCAGCTAGTAGATTGGAGGCCATGGCTTCTAGGTTGGAGGCGACCACTAGCAGGTTGGAGGCCATTGCTTCTAGGTTGGAGGCCATCAGCTAGTAGATTGGAGGCCATGGCTCCTAGGTTGGAGGCAATCGCTAGCAGGTTGGAGGCCATCGCTTCTAGGTTGGAGGCCATCAGCTAGTAGGTTGGAGGCCATGGCTTCTAGGTTGGAGGCGACCGCGAGCAGGTTGGAGGCCATCGCTTCTAGGTTGGAGGCCATCAGCTAGTAGGTTGGAGGCCATGGCTTCTAGGTTGGAGGCGACCGCGAGCAGGTTGGAGGCCATCGCTTCAGTCTCTTTGACCTTTCAAGACACTGAGATGACTAAGAGCGAGGAATCTTTTGAGGCGCCGGGTCACAGCCTCACCGTTCACCGGCGAGAATGGGTTTTGTTGGGGACTCGAAGTGGCGTCGATAGGAGTCTTCTGCCGGATGGAAGCCCAAGATATCATGTTCAAGCTTTGGAACAGCTTTCAGCAAGCTTCGGAATGGCTCCTTCGCTCCTCTTCCGTGAAGAATGTCTTCTAGGAACTCCCATTCCTTCCCCCGAAGAAAAGACTCGCGACCAATCTATTCAACTACCTACAGTAGGTACCCTGGGATTCCAAGACTATCAAAAGAATGGTACGAAGGGTCACCTGATTTCGGGACTTCCTTTAGGCCAAATGTCTTTCAACTTACAGTCGATTCGACTTCTAATCTAGGCGATGCCCAAGACAAAACACTAGCTTCCAACACTGGAACGCGGGAACTCGTTCTTTCTGCGACTGATGGAAAACAAACGCGACTGATGTGTCAAGACTTCAAAGGCTGGCGATATCTGGGCGAGCTTATAAACAAGGTTGGGACACCTTTTAGTCCACAACACTGCTCTGTGCCCGACATGTGTGCATAACAGCACACCAAACCTTCTTGGCTGACGTATCGATTTCAATGGGGAGGGCGTATCGATTTCGTTGTCAACAAACTCTGTTTTCTTGGGTCATCCCCCCATAACCAAAATACCGGTTCTCTGGGCACAGAGCGTCGAGAATCACCTCGGTCAAGCACGACCTGGCGGTTCCGTTCGTCGACCGGAACCACTGGACCCAGTGGTTAAGGGGTCAGTTGAAGCTGACCTTGGTTGGACCAGGCACCTTGCCAATGGTCACGTCTCAAACAACGGCACCGACGAACGAGGCACGGTCCACGGTCCACCGTGTATGGGAACGGAGACAAGGCGATCCGAGGCACGACGAGGACGAGGCATCGAGCGGGGGGGACCCTGAATGTAACTTACATGTTCTTTGACTTTGAGGGTCCAGATTCCCTAAAGACCGAAGTACCTTGTCAGAAGGTACTTGGACCCTCCAAACCTACATAACGGTGTCTCCAATCACCTTCTGAGGATTCTGAGAAGGTACTTGGATCCCTAGGGATTGTAATGTAATAGTTCAATTTTCCTGCGCACACACACACACACCCCGGCGTCTGATACGAAAAAGACTGGACAATACAAGTTATACTTTTTTTTGGTGGTGGGGTGGCCAAAAATGTAACTTACATTTGGGTCTTTCTGAAATGGTCGGATGAAAACAAAGGCCCTGGTATAGTTTTTAGATAGATCTTTTTAAAGGTGCCACGAGTTCAGGAACTTCTTTTTTTCTTGAGGTTTGGGTCTTCCAAAAAAAAGGACTTCAATCTTCGAGGTTGTTCAGGCTCTTCAATCAAAACCGTCCACTTCGCCGAGCGCGTCCTCCCCGTTGAGACACCCACCTTGGAGGCGACCCTCGCGCGAAAGGGGATAGGGCCCCGAAGGCAGTCGCCTTCTTTTTAGAGCCTCACCGAGGCGGCGACACGGGTGGTGCGGAGGGGCCGGATGGTACGTCGTGGGACAATGGACCTGAAGCTTGGAAAACGAGCCCAAAAACATCCAAAGGCAGTACTAGTACTAGTACTATGAGGTCAGTCAGACCTCCTTGGACTGGTGGGGACCGTGTCTAGAGCTCCGAAGCCGGCCAAACGAAGCACCCTCCTCACCTCCCGACGACTTGGGGGTGGACCATCCACCTTCCCCAAAACGGGTCGTGCTCCTTCAAGTCCCGTCCATAAATGAACTACATGCTCCTTCACCCATCTCCAAAAAGGATCCAAACCGTCTCCTAAAGCACTGCTCCTAAAGCCGCTCGGATCCGCACGCTCCGCTCCCAGGAAGGTCATCTTCCTGCGACACCGCGGTCCGCGGCGCGCGCGTCCTCCGCCGTGTCACGAAGCCATGCAGGTCTTGGTGGGTTCAACCCCCCAACCAAAACCATAGCACGTACAAACGTGGAGGCACAAAGTCGGTTCAAACTTGGTTGAACCATGTTGAACCATGTTGGTTTTTTTTCCGGTGTTCGCGCCATTGGACCGTTGTTCATAGGAAGTGTATGGAAGTTTGACCAAAAAGTCTGAGTGGTTTGTGGTGTAAAATAGAGGTCACTCAGGTCACTCAGTCGTCACTACAGTAGCCCTAGGATTCGAACACCATGAATGAGTGCCGTCGAACAACAACAGCGATTGATCAATGAAGGCCTTAAAGTGTTTAAGAGTACAAAACCCAGGTCAACCTTCCTGTTGGTCTTTGAAGGATAGGGGTCTTGTAGTGCGAATTGTCCGCATCATGTGTACGCAGCCGATATCAATTGCAGCCACAAAGAGCCTCCAACACCAGGCTGTGCTGCACGGCAATTGGTGCGCAGCACGGCTCCCCAAGCCGTCTCTCCCGTCTCTCTCGAGTACCTGCTACTCACAACGAACACGGCGCACCAGCGCCTGACGTATCAGAGTTTCCTCAGGCCCCAAAGGCAGGCATGTTGGCGCCTCAGCAAACGGCGGGTTCCGGGAACCCTGCCGCCGGGGGTTCATGAGATGTGCTGTGCCGCATGCATGGTGCAGACCGAGAGACCGGGCAAAAAGGCTTCAGGAGGGGGGAAGCTGACATGAGCTGACGCTGGTGCAACGTGCGAAACCAGACAAGTCGGGGAGACGTCCGGATTGGGCTTTCAGCACAGCTTGCTGCCCAAAACGTCCCTCTTCACCTTGCCTTTCCACGCTTGGTGGAACCAAATCCTTCTAAGAAGCTCACCACGCCCCCCCCCCAACTGCCCACGCTCTATGACAGCCGACAGGCTGTTTTTGTAGCGCGGTGCGGTGCGTCTGCTCGGAATCCGCACAATCGAATCCCAAATCTCCCAGTGCCTGGATTTCTGAATCCAGATCCTGCCCACTCGCGGCTTCACGAACAGCACGGTTCAGACCAGTCCAGTCCAGGATCGGAAGGGAACAGGACAGCCCCCATCAATCCCTGAGAGTCCAGTGAGTCATGAGGAAAATGACACTAACCCGGCCTGGTAGTGGATGGATTGACTAGCTCAGGCTGGTAGTAAAACGATGTAAAACGAGTCAAAACGGAAGTTCTGGGGATTCAATAGCCTGTCCTCCCGGTCTCAACCATTCTTCAGACCATCAAAGACCATCAAAGACCCAAGACTCGACCCCCGACTGGGGACGGGAACGCAACGGCTTCCGAATCGGACGGACCGGCATGGGCATCCACTCACCCGGAGCGTTCGAACTGGGCGTCCAATAGATGGAGATCGAGAGGACTCCAGGTGTCCAAGATCTGGGGATCCACATCCCTTCTCAGAAGACTGCAGGATCTGGGACGGAGTCCGGACCACTTCGGCTCCGCTCAGGGGTCTACTCGGGTCGACCGTCTAGTCCATGGAGTCCGTCGGTGGTTTCGAGTCTGAACGTCTGGCGACGAATGACAGGGAGTCCCTGGGTCAGTTTCACCTCATTTTGGCTCCCAATAGAAGAGCGCTGGCTTTATACAACGCCCTCCTTTTACTGGAGTTGGTCATACAAAAACCACGACTTTAGGAGGTCAGAGACCAGGTTGGGACCGAGACTGGGCGGACGTAGGGTCCAAAGAACCCTCCCAGAGCTCCCCACCTGCAGTTTCAAATCCTCCTGGCGCCACCGGCGAACCGGAACTGGAGGACTCTGCGTTCCCCTGTGGGGATCTTCCAAGTACTCAAAACCAGAAACCCCCGCAAGCCCACGAAAAATCGTGGTTTTCACATACAAAAACCACTTTGGCTAGGGAAAAACCAGGTCTTTAGATGGATTGTTTCTGGCCCCCTGGAAGAAACCCCGGACACAGCACCTCCCAACAGGTGTTTTCTTTCAACTGCAGGGTGGTGGCACCCCGTCCAGCTCCACGTCCTATTTTGTTTGGGCGGAAACGCCCCAACCACTCGGTGAACGGCCCTTGGGCCCTTGGGGTCCCACTGAACCTGAGGGGTTCGGTGGGCACCGACCCCCCCAGTTTCGCACCCACCCGCGCCCAAACGCACCCACGGTCCCGCTCCAGGATGTTTGGCATATCTGATGTCCAAAGGGTGTGGACTCCCTTTTGGATTGAAAGCGGAAAATCCACCGTGACCACCGTGACCAGTGGGCTCCGAAGTGGATCGCCACCGCCACCGTTTTGTGGAAAAACATTCCTGGATCTTCCAACGAGGTAAACAAATCAACTCCTCCGGGCGCGTGTGCCAAACTGAGGCAGAAAAAAGGACTGTGCTGGAAGATCGTGGAGGTCTACCCGGTTATCAATCCATAGATCCATATTATACCAGGACCTTCCAACAGGTGGCTTTTGGACACCCCGAATCACCTCTCAGAGACTATTTATAGTCACCCCTTGGAGGATCCTGGTCCAAATATATATATATATATTATAGAAAGAGAGAGAGAGAGAGGGATAGAGAGAGAACCTGAGTAATCCCTGTTTTGGAGGATCAACTATCAAAAAGGAAGTCATGTTTGGGTTCTATAGGTATATATATATATATGTGTGTATTATATATATATATTGTAATACGATGGAGGGGTCCAAGACGATCTTTGAAATTGGTCGACCTAGGTGACCCCGGTTAAGGAACTTTCTTTACTTCAACTTCAAAATATCGCAAAAGAGAGTCGAACTGGACTTCCAGGGTACACACAATTCTTTTAAACCTAGATCTTCTGCCTTTTCATTTATACGGCCAAGTTCGGCCATCCTTTTGCGTTGCAAAAAGTAATATATTATATATATATATAGTAATGTATATATAGATAGATCAGCCTCCCAGAAACCAATCCCTTTTTCGGACGTTCGTCCTGCAACGCGCTCATCGGGACGTAACATGGCCTAAGCCAAGCTCGACCGCTCACGGTCGCGCCGCTGCGCGCCGCTTCGCGCCGCTTCGCGTCAGCGCGCTTCGACGCTCTGGGCAGCGAGCTCAGGAGCGGGACCGTGACGGGTCCAGGATCCCCAAGGAGTGGTTCATGGGACATCCCGAATCACCTCCGGGCTATTAATGGACACCCGAAATCCGTGGTGCTGGCAAAGGACGCCTTCATCTAGCTCATCTAGCTCGAGTTACGAAAGCCATTCAGGTCAGAATGAGACTGCCAAAGGATTGGTGCCCATGTTCCGCTGGATCTAACCACCTGAAATGGGAAACGGGTGCCGAAACTCGGATGTCTGCAACCCTCCACTTCTGGGCTTCAGTCAGTCTAAGGGGTCGATCCGCCGGTGGAGACCACACCCGATCCACGTGGCTCAGCTCCCCGCTGGTACTTGGAATCCTGGTCCCGCGGCATCGGGCGCGCGGGGAACGCGCGGGGAACGCACGGAGTGGGGACTCGGCGTGCGTTCGGAGCGGAGGAAAAGGGACTCGGCGGTGTGTTGAGGTCTCCGTGTGTTGTGTCGACTTGGCGGCGGGTGCTGTACACAGCTTCAAAGTCGCCACAGGTGTGGGCATATACTATACCTGGATCAGGTATGTATCACCAAGGTGCAATGGCAAGTCTCAAGTTACTATAGTAGCTACTAGCAGCACAAGCGCTTGAGTCTTGTCACTGGTGGTGGCAAACGAATATGCACCTCGCATGGAATTCCACGAAACACGCGTTGGATCTCACATACTGCGCAGCTCTCCTAAGCATCTGAGCTCTCCCAAGACCTCCTTTTGTGCGCCCCATCGAACCGAACCCCCAACGACTCCTCCTCCGGACACCTTTCGACCCGAACCCGCGGTACACATCGGCCGAGCCACATCGGCCGACGGCAACTCCTCCTCGGGCAGAGCGGAGGGCGAAGAGACGCGATGCACGGCCCTCGATCGAAGCGAGGCCGGTTTTGTCAGGTGCCGACGCAGGGCCTCCGCACGACGCGACGTTCCACAATTGGTTGCCAGGACGAGCGACGAAGTCTCCAGGTCTGTCAACGATGGATTCCACCCGTCCCGTCCGGGCGGATGCCACGCCCCCAAGGCCATCCCGGGACGCTCCGCGCTCCGGGTCGATCCGCCGCACGTCTACGAGGAGGGGTCCGCCGGTCGGTGGAAACGTCAGGTTGGTGGAGGACACGGACCAGTGGCGCGTCCAGGACGGTCGAAAGGTTGACTTCTCTGACCATTCTTCACGCGGCGTCGCTTTTTTGTTCATCTGGCCAAACGGGTGTTCATCGGCCCTTAAGTGGTCACCACTTCACCACTTCGGCCGTCGTTCTGGCGGTGAAAAGGATTGAACTGGTTTTTAGTTATATACGAGAAAAGTAACAGCACCTTCATTCCGGACTTTCGCCCCAGCCCACTACGATCAGGGAGCTCCCTGTCCAGGACACCTCTGCCTGAGCGGTCCAGGGGACCTGTGTGACACATCACCGCCGAGGTCGACGGCGACCCCCACGACCGACTCTCCAGGCCTCGACTCGATGCCTACAGAGGTAGCCAGTAACCGGGACCATAGGACCCTACACTACAGGAGTACCGAACTAGGATAGTCTAGTTCGGGTTCTTCAACCTCTGGTTCACTCAACCTACGGCACTCCAAAACGGCCTCCCCGCAACCGGTGGCTCCTCGGAACCGACGCTCTGCTGCTTCTGTTTAAACAGCGGGCGTTTCCGTGCCTGACGCCGGTGGACTCGTGGCTTCGACACCGGGGCGGGTGAGGGACACGTGGGTCTCCACCGGAGATGCGTGGGTTTTGGTGTGGGTGAAGATCGCACCCGAAGTGGTGAAGGTCAAAAAACGGGGATGGGTGAGGGACGGGTCCTTTCTGAGCCGGGTCTGGAAGAAATCGTCAGACCCAATACCCAGACCTCACCAGACCTGCAGTTGTACCAAAAAGAAATGGAGGAAGCTCTCTTCCCAGTGGCCTTCAAAACTCATGAACAATAATGGTTTTCAAATACCAAAAACATGTGTTTTTTCTAGGGAAAGCCAAGTCTTTGATGGTTTGGGGGTCCCCTGTTCCGTGGCAGAATGTCCATCGAACCGGGTGACCGTCTTCCAGCAACCGGTGTCGTCCTCGCTTCGTTTGGTCCCATACCGGCCAGGTACGGAGCACGTGAGTGCTGCGTGTCTTCGGCCCAGGTACGTCGCTGTCACGCATCACGGCAGAGAGGCTGAAGTGCTTCGTCAGCTGGTCCTCAACGAAAGGGGCGCTGGGCGTGACAATGCGTCTGGGCGCAAAAACCGGTCACCAGCAGTCACCGCTCTGTGCAAGGCAGGTCCGAAAGGAATAATTTCACACGGATGAAACACGGTCTGTAACCATATCTTGTCTTGTCACATTCGGCCGACGTGGTGCTTCTTCTGGAGGACACTGCCATCGTTTGTCGGACAATCGGAACGCCTCACGTGTTGCGAAGCCGTCGGAGAAGCGGAACGTCTAGGAGAGCCACACCAAACAAAGCGCCAAGCGGCTTGGCCCTGCAAGCGAGCATAGCTCACGCCAGGCATCGTGGCAACCTCGGCCGAGCGAGCCATTCATAAGGCCCCGTCTTGTGGCTCTGGTGAAAACAATCATCCAGTCAAACTGGAACAAACGAAGTTCAGTCAAGCTGCTCTGTTCGCTTCAGGGTCTTCACCCACTTTCGGCCCGTCCCGGGCCCCCACACCAACCTCACACCTCACAATCCGCACTCCCACGGTGCTGGGCTTCCACTCAGTGAGATGGCCTTTATTCAGGTAGGATTTCCAAAACGCAGGCCTTGGAGCGGCCACACTTTCGGCACACAGGCTTGCGCGCTGCTTGCGCGCGAAAGCGGGTTCAGCCGCGAGTTCGGGCGGGCGCAAGACAGCGCTCGGTGGCCCAGTGCAAAGCTACGGTTCAAGAGTTCATCCTTAGTTGCAGCTTCTGCGTCGTCGTTGGGAAGCGGCACCGCCATCGTGAAACACATGGTACAGTCGTTGACTTTGTTTGATGTCAATTTCCATGATTGACACAGACGGGAACTACTTTCACTCATCTAACTCATCTACCTAAATCAACACGAAATCGTTGCGGTTACGGTTCCTCGGGGGATTCCATCACGCATCTTCCTGGGGGCCTCGTGGGCCCGAGCTCGTTTTCACTGTTTCGACTGGCGAAAGGAGCAAGTCGAAAAATATCGAAAGATGATGAAGAATGTCCGGTTTCCGAAGGAAGAGTCGTTTTTTACCCTTTTTCGGACCTTTTTCCTTTTTTTCAGGGTTTCAAGGAGACCTATGGTGGGGTGATGATATCCAGTTGCGCGGGCGCGGGTCCGGCGGGTTTGGCAGGCTCGGCAGAAAAGAAACGGATTTTGTTGTATGGACATTGTGTTTTTTCCATTGCTATGGCTGCTATGGTATTTGCAGCTGGCAAAAAAAGAAAAAGAACCGTTGTCTCCACAGCACGTGGCGACCTTTGCCCCCTTGCTCAACCTTTGCGACCTCCGCCTTGCTCACGCGCGACCTTGTCTGAAGCGACCAATTGGAAAGAAAAAAGCTGGACTAAGTTGTCCCATCCAAGAGAAATCAAAAGAGACATTCCCTCATGTGGGGAAGAAAGACCTTGGAGGCGGAGTAGACCGGGTCCAATGAAATTTTGAGATGTGTTCGTTTTGGAGCGGAACTTCAAGCTTCATCCTGTTTTGACGTCAGTTTTTTTAAGAATGTTCCTGTTCTTTCATTTGAAGCTGCGCCACTTGAGCGAAAATCACTTCACTAGAGTTGATGCACACCATACCTGTAACAGGATTACCACTTTAACCTCATGTATTTCAGACATGTCACAGTGTTGACAAAAAGGCGTCCGCTGACCAAAGCTCGAGTTATATCGTTGGGAGGGTTCCAAACTAGATGGATGTCGAAAAACAGGACATGGTCGGTGTGTGACTTGAATCACCACCAGTCTGCCACAAACGGGTCGGCCACAACGGGTCGGTTCGGAATGGATGAGAAGAAAGGAGACCGACCAGTTCCCCAAACGGCCCAGTCCCAGTCGCCCCCGACCCCAACTGAGTTCGGCTTCGGCTCCCGGAGGCGGGCGAGGCCGTTCCTCACTGGATCCGTTGCCATGCCGGAGACAACCCGGTGCAGCCGCCGGTTCCATTGGGGACCATCCAAGGTAGTGCGAATCGCGAAGAAAGAAGCTGGGGCCCAAAACAGGCGGAAAAAACAGCACACCACGCAATTCTTGCGGTGACCCCAGTGCCGCGAAAAAAACCACACTGCCCAGCTCGCCACCATCTCGCCGCCGAGCTCCGCGAGCCCAAAAAACCGGTTGAAAAACGTCGGAGGAGCGGGTTGAAAAGCCCTCTCAAGGCCCAACGTCATGCATTCATAGAGTACAAGAACATCTGCGGCTGACCTGGCAAAACCGTGGCAGGATGTTTCTCTCCCAATCGATGATTTCGAGCGAGCGTCTGGGCCAATTGAACAGAAAGGGACTGATGTTCATGTCAAAAAGCTTTCTAAAAAGGAACCAACACCGAGAAAAAGGTGATAACGACTCCGCTCCATATCTAAGCCCTATGGGCCTATCTCATGCACTTGGTTGTGGCACCCTTTTTTCTTACACACTCCGATCGATGTCCACCTCCGATCCGATTCCGACCTGAACCCAGAGAACTGCATGTGTGCTCTGGTCATCTCTGGTCCAGTCTCACCCAGAAGAAAAGGATCCTGGGCCTGAAAACCCACCCTGAAAAAGGTTGGTTGAGCGGCTTTTTAGATATATAGCCGCTCAACTCCGCCAGTTCACTGACCATGCGAAAAGGCAGAAATGTTGCACTGTTTTTGACCAGCCAGGTGGTGTCTGGCCCGGCAACACACTCGCTTCAGCGGCCGGTCTGCGGCTGAATCGCCGCCGGGTCGCGGCTGGTCGCCGTGGTCGGGTCTGTGTCCGTCGGTGGACGTCCCCCTATCTACGTCCGGTCCTTTTAGTTTAGGTGACCCCAGTCCAGGAACCTTCTGGAATCATGTGGCAAACATATCGTCCATAATTTCGTGAATCTGTGTTTTCTGGTGGTGTCAGGTGGATTTCTTCATGTGTGGTCCGGTCCGTCGGGTGTTTCCAAACGCACCTTTTGATAACCATACATAGAAAAAGGAACTGAACATACCAAATAAATATATACTCTGAGAGTAAGACGATCAAAAGAATGGTCTGAACTTCCTTTCCTTCACTTATAGGCATCATATCGCCCAACTCGACTTCTATGCCAGCATCCGAACCAAACATCTTCTCGTCAAGGCCCAACTCCCATCAACTCCCACTACCTCTAGCGATGCCGGGGTTCCTAGTAGCTTCTCGTTTCTGGGCGCCTTTCAGGACCCCGGCCATTCCCCAACCAACACCACGTTCCGGCCTGAAGTTGATGAAGGCGAAGCCGCAGTGAACGTTGCGTCGCTTGTCAAATGGCATGTAAAAGAATGTGTACCTGGGATGAGATGTGCCGAAAAGGATGTCCGAACAAGGCCAAGGCGGCTTCGGGCGAGGCGAGATTGGGGCGGTTTGTTTGGTTCGAAAAGGTTGGAAAAGAACAGGACCATAAAAATAGAAATAGGGTGTGAATGGCCGACCTAGCAAACCAAAAATGGCTTGAAGCGTGGATTTGACCCTACTAAGCGTGATGTCCGCATCTTCGATCAACATTCGTCCTTGACAGGTCTGAACCGCTGCCGTCGGGGAGTCATTCGTCACAGTTGGAGTCCTTTTAGAGACCAACCACTCCAAACCATCCAACTGGACGTCCCATCCAACTTTGTTCTCATCTTGCGGAGGTCATGCTTGGGGTTCTAGAGGGTTCTAGAGGGTTCTAGAGGGTTCTAGAGGGTTCTAGAGGGTTCTAGAGGGTTCTAGGGCTTTAAGAAAAAGAGGATGTCCCATTGGATTCACGATTGTCCTTGTTGTGCGAGAATGGCGGCGGTCCAAACACTTCGGCTTCGCCCGGCCTGTTCGACAGCCCAAAAGGTACCAGGAGCTCCACGATGGATTCGCGGCTGCAAGCCTTTCGCAGCTTTCCGGCGAAAGGAACAAAGAAGGAAGGAAACACCTTTGTCCAGCGGTTTCATGTCTGTTCTTAGTGGATCATCGGGGAAAAAAGAAGAAGAACTCGATTTCCTCCAAAGAAGCGTCCAACCTGCACCTGCACCTGCTTGCTCTGTCTCCACAACTGGGCAGCCTCGCTACGGACCAGGAATCCTTCAGTGAGGCTGCCCAATCCGTTGGCGCCCACCCGTCGATCATGTCTGCGCCCACGGGATCTCCGCCCCGTCATTGACGCCCAAAGAACAAATCCAAAGAAGCGAATTTCCAAAGAAGAAAGCCAACCAGAACTCCATCAAGTCCACGAACCCCATCAAGTCCATCAAGCCGGGTGTTGAAAGTTGCGCCGAACTCGCCAGGCGGAGCGCGCCCAACTTGGAGCGGGTGGAACCGCCGGGGGCCTTGGGGATGTTCCGCAACATCACCTCGGAGACCGGTGCACGTGCGGACGTTTCCGCCGCGCACGGGGGACTTCCACATGGGAAGGAATCAAAGGATTGTTCTGGGTGGTGCTGGTGGTTTCTGTGTGTTGAGTTCTTTTTTTTCTCCTGTCCTCTGCCTTTGCTCCAAGACATGTTCAAAACCCATGAGAATGGGCAAAAGCCTGTTCAAGACGAAGAAACGGCACCTTCCAAACCAACGACTTGACCCCTCCTCCCCCCAAAAAAAAAGAACGCCCACCTTAATTGGTGGCGTGTGTGCTTTTCTCTAAAAGTCACCCCCATCCAAATCCATCCCAAAACCCCCAACAACCAGCGCCCTCAGCCTGACAGCGTCGTGGGTGTTGTGGCCGTGGGCCCCCCAGCCGTGGTGCGAGGGTCCTCGTTCTTGCGGATCTTTTCGGGCACAATGTCGAATTTGGATAAGTCCTGGCGGTCGGCGAGAGAGAGAGAGAGAGAGACACCGAAGCAGCGGTCGGATGGACACATTGGTGGGAGAGCTTCTGGCGGTTCCCCTCCGTTCGCTGGAACTACTGGAAGCATTGCAATCTTTGGGTTGGCCTTCCTTTTTGGAGTCTGATCCAGTGTCCTTGTCCGGCATTCAATGACCTCAAACGCATCAACTCTTCTTATCAATGGAGGTGGGTCTTCCACATGTTTTGTAGGGGAAAACGGGTGATCCAAAGAGTTTGTTTCCCATAGGTTTCACTTCCATGATGATTCCAGGGAGTGCTACGAACCCGGCCCCCCCCAGCGGCCGAGCGGAGAAGAAGGGGCCCGCGCCTGTGTGCGCACTTTCTCCCTCAAGGGCTTTCCAGGTCCTGACGCACAAAAGAGAAAGGCCCGATGTTGGTGCATCGAAGAAGGACGAAAATTATCAATCTGAATACAAAAAACATGGGATACTAACAAAAGAACAGCATCAACACCCGGACAACACACCCCCCGGACGTTGTCGGGTTCTCTTCAATCGCGCCCAAAAACAGCAAACTGTTTGGGAGGAAAACAGAATCTTCCTACCAGGACCCTCTTAAAAGGGGCCAATGGAAGCCTATATAGGTAGTGTGGAGTAGTCCATTGGACACCCCTCGGAGGCTCCTGGTATGGAGCTGCACTGGAGATTCAATGCTTCATCTCCCAGTTTCACCCGCCCGCCGTGCGTTGCACGCCGTGCTCCCACCTCCCTCGCCCGACGCCTTGGTATGTAGGGCCGGTCTTGGTCTCGGCAGGACCTAGACTTGCCCCAGAGAATCCGGCAAGGACTATTGGGAAAAGAATGGGAAAGATGTGGTGTTACTAGTCATATAACACCCTTATAGTAAGCACCACAGGCACCACACCGGAGACAAGCTGCTACAGGTCCAGTCTGACCCATTTAACCTGTGCCTTTTTGGACCTCCGAACACGTCGGTGGACTTGCTTGTCCGTCCGAGACAAAAGGTAAAAATGCCAGCCAGGCGAGGCTCGGTGGGGCGCTCCAGAGCTCACCCTGACCCCCACGAAACCGTTCCCCCCCCCCCAAAACAAGAGCCACCCTAACCACCCAGTTCCACCCGGGCGCCCCGGACGGCCCGACGTGATCGCCACGGTGGGCGTGGGCACGGTGGCGGGCTCGGCGAGCGCCTCGACCTCGGTACGGCGGTGGCGGTGGCGGGGAAGGGGGCGAGCCCACAGGTGTTGGGTGTCGAAAAGAAGGTCTTTCCAGGAGAAAGAAAAGGGTCATACATATCAATCTGAAGAAGGTTTTAATATGGCAAACGAACAAAAGGATGACAAAAAGTCTCAGACAATTTAACCACTAAAAAAAAGAACAGAAACAACATAGTCAGGGTCTCAAGAAAAGAGCTCCAAAGAAACTTAAATATAAGTCATATGTCATAAAAGAACCCCGAGCCGTGCCAGGTCGTGCCGTGTTGCAGTTCCCACGGATGTGGCGTTCCATTATCAGTTCCAAGTCAACCAACGAGGGCCTTCCAGACCCCCACTGGTGGCCTGAGATCCATTGGGACTCCACTTTGACAGAGTTTTTCATCATGTTGAATCCGACATGTTCTCCACGGAGAACGCCCTCGTCCGAAAAAGGTCCCTTCAAAATCTCTGGGCAAGAAAGGCCGATGTGGAAATGTTTCGGCCCCAACCCCCCTCGATCTCAGCTCTGGAACGCTCTCCACGGGGTTGCTGCACACGTTCATCGTCTCCTCACGGAACGGAATTCAATCGATGGAACCAGTGGCCGGCCCATTGATGCTCATGTGGGAGGTCTTCGTTCGATATACCCATTCGACTTCCGGCAACAACCATGAACAAAAGATGGGAACGACCTGGTGTTTGTAGTGTGAAATCCTTAGTTGATTCGGGATGACCCGCCTATTAAATTCATGGTGAGGCTTCCGGAAGCCTAGAGTATACTAATGTTTTCAAAAGATTCTGCCGAACTGGCCGGTTCACGGTGTGAGAGAGGCAGAAAAAGGCCCCTTGCCCCCTCCTTGGCACCTTGACTGAACGGAACAAACGACCCAAGTGGTGACTTCGGTTTGTCCGACCACCAACCAGCCTTATCGCTCTGGTCATGTCTGGGCTCCGGAGTTCGGGTTCGTTGGGCGTTTGAGTCCGGAACCCCAAGATACGAAGATGGAACCGGGTGAGAACAGAAGCCAAACATGAGGGGCACGATCTGCTCACATGAGGCCAAACATCAGGACAAAAGCGTTTTGCAATCCACTGCGACCATTGGTGTTTCTGGACACTTTGGGGGATGTCAAGATAAGCCACGGATTGGTGCGGATCTGGAAGCTTGGTCTCGGTCGAACCGCGCGTGCATCGGACCGGAACCTCGCAGGCTTATACCAGCTCACCGAATGGGTAGCCCCAGCCCACTACGATCAGGGACCTCCCTGTCCAGGACACCCCGAAAGAAGCTCCAGGTATACATCTCAAAAAATGGTCCATCTTTTCCAGTCAACAGAGCTCCCGGTGCCCAATCGAGGCGGAATGGGGTGCCGATGGGACAAGCCACATCCACAGTTCTCCACGGCCCGGTCCAATGGGACAAGCCACACCACCCCGACTTAGGCCTCCTGATGGTTTTTATCGTTTACAGGCTTCCTGGGGACACAGAACCCAACCCTTGGCCGAACCAAAGCGAAAGCAACGGCGCAAGCTTGCGCGAGCTTGCGCTTGCGAGTGCCGTGCCGGCGTGCCTTGACCCAGTCTGCCCCAGAAACGTAGTGGGACACCTGGCGGAGAAGAAGCAAATCTTGAAAATGTGTAGCATCCTCTTTATACCCTAGAAGTTCCTAGAAGTTGAACCACCATTCATTCAATGACCTTTACCTAACAACCATTGTTTTACTAAGGGTTTTCCAGTACAAAACCAGATCGACCATTTTAAACAAAGGTTTCGACTTCCAGGGTGTATGTGTTTAAAGATGTTTAAAGTGTATAGGATTGCATCTCGGAGTCATGTGTGTGTATGTTCAAAGGACACATTGGAAAACCATATCAAGCATATCAAGCATATCATAATCACCATGGATCTATGGCGACCACTTCGGTCCTACGCCAACGACTCCACAGCCAGCTCCTACGCCAACGACTCGCCGGCGTCTCTGGCAACTTGCTCTCCAGTCCAGGCGCCCTTGGCGTCGCAGCTGTTTTGGTAGAGAGACTTCTCTCTCTTCGCAAATTCCGGGACATCTGAAAAAAAAAAAAAACATTGAAAATCCTGGCCATTCCCAAGTCGAAAAAGCGATGCTCTCACAAACCGACCTCGGGAACCCAAACCGAACCGAACCGACAAAGCAAAGGTGATTCCGTCACGCGTCGGATACGCGTCGGAGTCCACACTGAGGGCGCCGGGCGGCGGAGAAGTCAAGCCGGCATTCTTCTTGGGCCGGGTGCCAGGTACACAAAAGGTGGCCTGGACGATGAGCTGAGAAAGGGCTTTTTTCCCCAACAAAAACCGCGGAAATGGGAAAAGAAGGGCCAGGCTATTGAGGCTTTGGGATCATCTGAGCTGAGCAGCAGCTTGAACCCAGACCTATACGGAAAGATAAAAAGAAAGAACACGAGAAAAGCTCAGGTCCTGGTGCCAATCCCCCTTTTCAACAGCACACCGGCACACCAGAGAACGGAACCCCGGTCAAGTGGAGGGACTGCGGTTCCCCCCCTGCAGACTCACATGGATCGTAAAAATGGATCCCTGTAGGACCATTCTCCTCTACCACCCAGTGGTTTTTGGGGGATCCATGTGCTCTTCTGCAGGGTATCCAGTTTGGGCCGAGTGGACCAGTCCGTCCCAAGCTTGCGGCTCATTATGGGTCAAGTACGATCATGACACCAGTCGACATACGACTGCTAGGCCTCCAAAACCCGGATCATTATACCTACATCCTCCAAACTATGCAAAAGAAATCCTGTTCATCGAAAACCAGCCGTGTTTTAGGGCAGAACTGCTCTACATCCTTGGAAGATCTAGTGACTCTACAGTGACTATCCGGATTCCACTCGAGCTCCAAGAACTGGGAATCCTTGATGATCTGTTCATGACCCACTCACGCCAAACGTCGCGCCAACATCCATTGAATCCATCCGGACCGATGACCGGGTCATCGGTCAAACCCACCTGTCTCCATCTCTCTCCACCGTCTCCCCACCGCTACCCGACGGTCCTGATGAGCGGCCCGCATATCGTAGAACTCCACGACGATATCCTGCGGCCGCAGCACAACTGCCGCGGCATGGCAAGCCGCACGACACCGGTGACCCAAAACCCAGCAAAAGGAGCACACCGCTTTTGGGGGCATCCAAAAGCTCCGCAAAGGGGTCCCTTGCACCAAGGGAGCTGGTGCAGAACCAAAAGAAAAGAGCAGCGAAAACGTCACGCCCAGGACGTAACTGATGTCTCGTCCAACGTGTTTGAACCAAAAAATGACTACTTGGCAGTTACGTCTGGCACCGCCACTTCCACTCAAAAACCATCGGAAGCGCCGTCCAATCACCTCAAAGCCACATCCCTCCGGTTTTCACCGGGCCAGACCTCACCCCGGGGTCCTCCCCGCAGCTGGACACTCCTGCGATCTCCCCGAAACTGTGAAAGCCCGGGAAGTGCGCCTCGGCGGGGAAGTTCCGCGGGCGGAGGCTCGGTGCGACCGCGGGCTGAGGCTCGACGGGTCTCTTTGGAGGTCGGAGACCGGAGACCGAAGCGGCATGTCGTTCAGAACCCGAAGGAGAATGAGAATGAGAATGGTTTCTAAAGAAAAACAAGGACGCGTGAGGTGAAAGATAACAAGCCAGAACCTCACACTGACAGAGATGCGCGAGAAAAAAAGAGAGATGAGGTGGATAGTAGCAATAAGGAGAACCCATATGGGCCTGAAGATTGCCTTTTTGGGTCATGGCATCACCATGCATCACGCGTTTTCTTCCGAATCATATGGACCTTCAAAGGGCCTCAAACATTTAGAAAACAAACAAATCGCAAAAAGGAGATCTCATCTTTCAGCAAAAAAAATCCAAGAACTCCGGGAGCCTGTTTTCATGATCCTTTTCCCAGTCCAAGTGGCTGGAAGCTCAGAAAACACGGAGGTTTGCAAACTGACAGCCTCAGCACAAAGATTTCTTTTGGAGAGTGGCCATGCACGTCGCGACGTGGCCGGAAAAAGCCATCAAATCCAGAAGACTCGGGGGGAAGACCAACCACAGAATGATTGCCATTTCAAAGATCTATTCCAACATCTTGGAATGGTTTTAAGCTGTTTTAAGGCACCACGTGAGTGGATGTGACAGGGACCATCCCAACTTCCGAACTCATCGGCCTTTCAAGGCACCCAATTCCATGGAACGACGATGATTATATGTCCTAGAAGTCCAGTTATACTACATTTCGACCGGCTGAAGTAGAGGAAGTTCCCGAAATCAGGTCCCCGTTCGTCAGACCATTGTCTTTGACTCCCAAGGACCTGTGATGATTCCCTCACAACACCTCTGAATTGGTGTCTTCTTCACGAACCTCGAGACCAAGAACACGCAGACAGAATCAGGTCGCAGTCGTGATGAACCCGTCAGATGTTCAGCCCGGCACGGCTCCCCCGTTCGCAGTCGATTGAAACGGTGACGAGACGATGGGCCGCTTCTCTCGGTGGAAGAGAGCAAACTTGGACCAGACGGACTGCCAAGTTTCCTGCAGACCGATTCGTAGACGTCGGGCACCCAGTCTTTCGTGTGACAGGAACACGGCTCGAAATGACGAAAAACGAAGACGAGGATGGCACAGGAACACGGCTCTGACATAAGGACACTGACCCCAGGTGAAAACCAGTCTACCCATGTCTACCCAGCCAGAGGTAGGGGATCTCCCCGGACATACACACCCAAATGACTGGACGTCAACTCGTGTGACACGGACGACAGAGACACCGGACTTCCACAATCATTGTCACTTTTCTCGGTGAAAAAGCCATCCAAAATCATCCAAAATGATGGTGAAAAAGATACAATTTGTTCTTTGCTTCCAACGGAACACCCAAAATGCCAATTCGTCCTGCCACTGGTCTTCCTGGTCTTGTCTGCTCAAGCCCACTCCGCTGCATCAGAATTAGGCAAAGCAGGGGGCGTCGATAAGGGCAATGCAGTCCCTGTTGGTCCTATGGGCTCCACCTGAACATGGTAGCCAGTTGAATATACCCTCTTCCACCTGTGCTGATGGCCTTGTGAAACCAACGTCTGTCTTCCAAAATTGGATTACTGTTGCTGGGTCAGCACATTCATATAGGCATCAGTCTAAATCACTGTAGAAATAAAAAGACAGCAACAACAGCCAGGTCCACGCAGAAGTGGAATTGGTGTTCGCCTGAGCATGTGCATGTTCTATCCGCCAGAGGTGACAAATGGTCACGCCAGATGCGGATGAGATATATCCAGATCTGCCGCATCCGTCCTGAAGAGGAATCCTTGCAATCCGGGTGCCTGGATCACGCCCCTCCCTTCTCCCCTCTCCCTCTCCCTCTTCAGTCTTCGCTCGAACCCCAGCAGCACGTCATATGGCCCCCGCCCCAGACCTTCCGACGTGCGGCGCCCGCCGTCGGCCGAGGGGCACGAAAGTCGTGGATCGCAGGCTGGAAGGGCTCAGCCGATGGGACGAATTGCTGTAGGACCTGGCCGCGGAGTGCTCGGTGCGCGAGCAAGAAAAGGGCCAGGACCTGACGGTCTTTCTGGAGCTCTGGCTGGGACCGAAGGCTTTTTTGGGCAAATGCCGAACTTCGGACGTGTGACAGGGTCATCTAGAGACACGCTATAAATAGTTGACTGGACTCCCAGGAGTCAGATTTCGAGCGGATTTCAGGACGCTGTACCCACCAACTACGCTTTTGACTCCCGGCCGCGGTGGTTTTTGGTGCTCCTTTTGGGTCCCAAAAGCCAGCCACACAATGCCCCACATCGGTGAGAGTCTCCGGCTTCACATCGTCTTCCAAACCCTTAGGCCGACCCCGGCAACGAACCCCCAGCTCAAGCTGGGATAGACCGGGACCGCTGTGTAAGATCCTTAGTCAAAACATGTCAAAACCATGATGGGGAACGGGAAGATTCGGACTCTTCAATTCCATTGGCCAGCCAGGAAGCCGTCTAGCCAACCGTCCGCTTCGGGGGGCCGACCAGCCCCCCTTCCCCGCCTTCTGTGCCACACGCACGTCAAAGAAGGTCACGAAAACCAGGCCAGTGACGGATCCTGAGCCGGTGGATCGGTGAGATCCGGTGATGACTCCCGAGATCCAGAGGATCCGCAGGACCCCTTCCCTCTTCCCCCCAACCCGAGCCGGCGGGACCCAAAGAGGTATCCAATCGGGCCACATCACCGAACCTGAGGCGGAGAGCGGGGGCTTCGGTGGAAGATCGGGGTCGCTTCGGCCCGGACCGGAGAAGAGGGGAAGAAGAGACACCACCGGTGGTGGCGGAGTGGCGGAGTGGCTGTGGAAGTTGGGGGGGGGGTTTGGGGGGAACATTCCAAGACGTGGAAGGACACGAACATTCCGCGACGGTCGACGGTCACACCTTGTGAACAACGCGGTTGCTTCTTCCAAGGTCCTGACACAACTCCAAGGATTCACACATCAACCGAAAGTCCCAAAGTTCAAACAAATTCCCAAATGCTTTCCAAGGTTGGCTTGCAGACTGTAGTTTGTCTTGTGAGGCTTGTATGTTGATGGCCTTTGCCAACACTAGTGCTCATGTTTCTGCTGATCTAAGCTATCCACACCCAAAAAACCTCCGGGTCCTTGGGCATTCAGCCGGTTGAAAGTGAACTGCTACCTGAGTCGTTGTGAGGTCAATCTCTTCTTGACCAAATGCCAGACTCGTTGGGCTGTCCGAAAGCAGCCCTTCTGCGAGATCGCCAAGCGGATTCGGATTCCAAAAGTCTGGCTACCAGGCTACCAGGCTATCAGTTGAATTACATCCCAAAGTCACTTAGTGAATCTTAGTGACTTAGTCCATGTCTCGAGCTGGACTCGATGAGAAATTCGATACATCTTTGATGTTTGGCATGGGGGGTCGGTCTGCCTGAGATTCATCTCAATCTCCGACCTTTCTTCAACCCGATACTTTCGCGGAGCAAACAGCACGTCCTCAGCTCCACACAGTGTTGGAAGCCTCGGAGAGGGCTACAGAGCTGGCCATAACTCCTCAAGTCGAAGGAGCCGAGCGGCCGAGCGGAGCGGCCCCGAGCGTGGAAGAGTGTCAAGCAGGCGTTGAAACGTCTCAAATGGGCCGTTTGAAGAGTCTCATGGCAGGCTAGTGACCAATCAAGTTCTTCTTTTTGAAAGCTTTAAAGCGAAACTTATTGATGGAAAAAATGGTGAAAAGGGGATTCAAAATCGTGAGATCCATGGTTTTGTTCTTTTTTTGGATACAGGATCTCTTTCCTGTCAGGCCGTTGTCGGCATCCGTCGCCCTGTCGTGCAGAGTCACCGTGACCCCTCTCCTCTTGTCACAGCTTGTCGGATTGGAACACGTGTAGGTGCAACACACTCGAGCTTGATAGCTTGCAACACAAGCCTCGGCCGACCAAAAAGGCGCAGAAAAGACAAGTCTGAACTCAAAGGCGGCAGTCACCGAACTAACCTTCTCATCCCCATCCGTCCTCCAACAAGACCCCCCAAAGGAAAAGAACCAAAAAAGAAACCTCTCTCCCCCGCGCAGCCTGCCGTTCCAAAACCCACAAGAAACACACACAAAAACCGTTGGGCTCCCTTTGTCCCGGTCTCCAAAATCACCTGCTCCACTGTCTTCGACCCTCTTGCGTCTCTTGGCGTCTCCCGTCGTCTTCCGAGTCGCTTCGGAACGGCGGGGAGTCGGAGTCTCAACGACTCGACCTGGAACGAGGGTGACCGCACAACGGGTCGCACAACGAGTCGGAAAAAGGCTTTGGGGAAAAGGGGGGAAAGATATGGGGGGGATAGGATCAGATTAGGGGTTTTAGGGGAGTTTTGATTCATCCGGTGTCAATCCTTTCATGGCCAATTTGTCACACGTGCTCCAAGTCTGAACGTTTGTCCATGAATCGAATATAAATTAATAGATATTGCAATATGTGTTCGGCTGGGTGTCCAACAAGAGTTGATTGAACTTTCGTTTGTGGCAAGGTGGAAAAACGGCGACCTGGACCTTCTGGGGGTGCCGAACACGCGGCGTCGCGTCGCGTGTGGTTCGAATCACAACCTCGACTTTGAGACCTTCGACCCCACGCAGAACAGGCACAAACCCAACGCAGAAAACGCGCAGAAAGTGTCCAACGGGTTCTTCCAAAAGCGAATTCCGGTGAAACCGATCTTACCAATGGTTCGGAGAAGAAGAATAATAACCAACCCGGAAACACGGTCGCCTGCGTCACCGGGTGTTCGGATGTGTTTCACCACAACTCAACTCCCCGAGCCTGCGAACTCCAAGAAACTGACCAGAGGTCTGACGAACGACCGTTTTTGGGAGCCAGAATGCCCACGGCGCGGCGCGGCACTTCGGCGGCACTGAAGGAGAGGGATCGATCGAGAGGTGGCGTCGAGAATGGCGGCTTCAGCTCCGGCAGCCATGAAGCCTCTTGGCGTTACATGAGTTCGGATTCTCAGTCTGAAAAGCACCAAAAGGGCTCTAGAGGATGTTCTTTTGCTGGAGGACACAAACCCTCCTGTCTCCGTCGTGAAGGCACCCTTTGAGGATGACTGCAGCCTCACCAGCCACATGAAATTTTGCAACAATGCCAGGCCTCACCAGCTTGAAAAAGAATTGAGCTAGCTTTGCACTTCCACAAGATTAATGTGAAGACTATTTTCAGGTGGAATCCTCAGTTTGCCACTTTTGCTTTTGGTGAAAACAGCAACCTAACTCAATAATTGCTGACAACATGCCCGTTGCTGTTGTTTTGGCATTCGTCCGGGACAAACGGACCGACCCTGCTCACGAAAACGGACGCCACAACAAACACATAAAACACGCCTGCGACCATTTCTCTTGTTTGTTGGCCAGGGCCAGCCGCTTTTTCTACCAATACACTGCTACCAAAAACCACGTCTTTGAGGAAAGAATGGACAATGCGGCGACCATTTTCACGCAAGCAAAACTATTATACATCTGTAGATTTTTTCCCTGAATCAGACCGGCAGCCTCTTGTGGAAGATGGCCTCAGCATGCCTCAACTAGGAACCAACGGCCCAAAGTCCGCAAAGTCTTGCTTGTGAAGATCAGCACATGGAGTAACAACCCAAAAAGAGGGGCAGCTCTGTACAGTTCTGCAGCTAGAAAAAGAAACAACTAGGTTTTTCAGGAAGCGCCGCATGATCGGTCGGCGCCTCGATTACTCGAAAAAACGCGGAGAAAACTCCTGCGTGTCTAGTTCTCAATAAATCGTACAATGAATTCAGGATAAGCCTGGGCAGGGTCAAAGGTCACCACCTCCAGATGGCCCTGCAGCCCAGCACGACCCGGTAGGCCATTTGGAATGCCAGGCATCGCAATGATGGAATCAGCACGCACTGCATACTTTTCTGGGGGACCTGTTCAGCAAATCACCGGGCACGACGGAAGAACATCTGCCCCAAGAGGACCAGCATTAGCCGATTACCTCAACTAAATCGGGGTCTTGCCAATCCCAAAGCCACAAGCTGCCCTACGAACTAGCACCCCCCAAAAAAAGGTAAAGGGGGAACAATAGGATGTTGGACAGGATCCTTTGAGTACGTACTCCTACTACAGTACAGAAAATGTCCGTCAAGCAACGCGTGCGTTCGTGACATGGACCTTCTGCATAAAAAGGATGGCCGATGGCCACGCGAGCAAAGAGCATGGTCCCCATCATCTCGCTCGATGCTTTGTAGTGCGTGCCACCGTTGGTGGCATACTGCGCGCTCTTGCAGGTTTGGGCCGCAAAGTAGGTGCCTTGTCCATAAAGTCCCGGTCGTTCTCGAACGCGGTTGTCAAACCCTTCGAGCGCAATTTTCATGGCCGTCTCCAAGTCTCGTGTCCCGTGCAGCAAGAGCCGTTCGTTCCCAGCTTGGTCCACTTGGAGTTCGTGAGCAAACTCCGTTAAGGCGTCACCTACTGCTGGACAGGCTTCTGGGGAGATGCCAAGCTGATGGTGCTTTTCTCGGATGGATTGAAGAAAGCGTTGATATCGTCGCCACACATGAAGGTTCTTGACCTGAAAAGCCTCCAGCACCTGAAAGCTTGAACTTCCGTGACTACACCAACAGGATGCACCATCATGCCGAGAACGTGATCGGTTCAACACCCCTTGTAATCTGAAGAGGATCAGTGGATCCCGCACTGGCCGCACCGTTCGCGCAACGAAGTTGGCACCTGCGGGAGTGAGAAACTGGAAGGCTTCTTCGATGGTCAGCTTCCAATGGATGGGCACATCGAAAAAACAACGGATCCACCGAGTTTTTCCAGTGCGTTGGTTAATCTGCCAGCCCTCCCGGAAATTGATGGCGTACACCTTTCCATGGACGCTGACCTCGCAGTGCCAAAGACCTTGTCGAAACTTGCCCATGAGTTCCTGGTTCGCACGCTCCTCAGATCAATCACCAAAGCCCCAGGACAGATCTGGCAACCCACCTTTGCGGGGAACGACCTGAAGATGCTAATGGCGACTCTTTGATGAACAAACCTTCCATAAGACTGAAAAAGACTTGTCAATTCAATCGGGGGGTGGGTTTATTCATCAAGAGTCTTCGTCAAACTAAACCCTAGACTTCCAAGACAATTTTAAAAAATGGTTGACCGGGTTTTTGCAATGACAATTCCTTAGTTGATTCGGGATTCAGCCTATTAGAATGGTTGGCCAGGAAGCCAAGGGTAAACACATGAACCAATGAGATCGAGAGACTGGAAATGGCACCCACTCGCCACTGTCGCCTTGAAACTGCCACCGTTCCTCATCCCTCTGCGCGGGCCGACCAGAAGCCAACTCCCTCGTCGCGAGGCGCGCAGTGAGATCCTCCTTGATCTGAACCAAGTCACCACTGTCACCCACCCTCTGCAGTTCTTCCTCCAAGTGGTCAACCCAAGCCTGCCAGGTCTGCGCCAGCCTCGACAGCTTCTCGTTCTCCTCCCACGTTGAGACAAGATAGCAGGCAGGTTGTAAGTACGACACCTATAGAAAGCACAACGGGAGCGACATGAACTCAATCGCACCGTGTTGAAGCGATCCAGGCACGAAAAGCTCGTGTGGTCCCACCCACCCAAGAACCTCCAACCGTTCCCTCCGCGTGGAACGAACCCCAAGAGCCCCCCCTTAGTACCCACGATCAAACGGCGTGATGCTCCGCTCTAAGACCGTTGAAGACCGCGCTCTTGCGTTAATGGTGTCTTTTTTCATGGCTGCTCTTGGTGGCAAACCGCTTGGGTATTACGATTTTATCTCTTCACACAAAGGGCGGTCGAAGTGTCTATGGATCTTTTTGAGCACCTGCAAAAAATTGCTTATGAATTCCGTGGTTTTTTGCAAACCCTTCATGAAACATGCGCCACAAAATGGCTCAAAATTGCTCCTTAAAACCTGTAGTGGCCCAACATCGGTTGTCACAAAATAGTAGGCTGCCAGCAAACTGTTTGCGGGGGCTATTGCTCATACCCAGCCCCTTGAAAGGTATGAGCCATGGGAAACTCAGCTCTGCTCATTCGTCCTCGCGCAGGCGCACCACGTCTTCCTCGTTCTCCTTCAAACGTTGAACCTCGGCACACGGAGAGATCGCGCGGATGGGAGGCTTGGTGCAGCCAGGTTGGGCAGCACCACCCAGTGAGGTGGCCCAAACAGGGCCAAGCACGGCGAAAACGGGGTTTCACATGGTGTACATGGTGCCAAGCAGCTGCCCTCTGCAACTGGTTCTGCGGATCAGCGCCGCCATTCAGAACGGCCATCAAGCTGTCAATGTGGGCCTGCATGTCCTGCAGTTTCCTTTCCAAGTCATCAACTCGACTCTGCTTCTCTAGTAGCCTTCCCTCCAAACGGTTGATCTTGGTCTTCTCCAGCAGCTTCCCCTCGTCCTTTCTGGAAGAAGTGGGACATCCCCAAAAGCAATGGTTCCACGGAGAATTGGAAAAGGCCTGATCACCCTAAGTATAGATGATATGAACCACAAACACATTTAAAAAATGTAGTTCAAGAAACAGTGCCATTGCCAAAAATGAAATTCCCCAAAGTGGCCCAGTTCTTCGCCTCACAAAAAAAACACAAAAATAATTGCAGGGTGACTTCCATGTGGACGTCTCTGCATGGGGGTCCTCAAGTGACTTCTGCACGTCGAGCCCTTGTTCGAAACCTCGCAGTTTTTCAAAGGCACTGACAAAGGGTTCACACTTCACACATTGGCTTTTTGCGTGGTATTTGAAGGTTGGTAAGAAAAGCTGTGGAGAATGAAGCATCTGTGATATGTCCACTGATGGCTTGAAAACTGATCGGTGACGGTATTGGCTGCCAAAATGGTTTCCACCCAGCGCGCAAAACGCAATAGCTACCACATGGAGGTGTTTGCATGGACCTTGTGAGATGTATGTCCTTTCTGTTTCGCCAATTAGACCTCTGCATGAAAGGAACGCTGCACTCTCTTCAATGAACGGGTTTTTCCAAGCTCTGCGGACCACCGAGATTTGCGTCCTCCCTGGGCCACCACACGGGCATCCTCAGCACGATGGGTCAAGTACACTGAAAGCCACTGCATGACACGACCAGTGACCAGGGCGAGCCAAAAACCGAGGGCCTTACGTCCTCACTGTCACTGGACCTCACGGGCCACGGCGGATGCACGTGGCTGGCTGTGTTTGTCATCAGCTCAGCGAGCTGTTATATAAACGTTTTGATAAACGCATCCATCCCATGAAAGCTTCATAACTTCATGTGACACTCATGGAGAAACCTCCCCTCCCAGAATCACCCAAAAGAAGACATGTCAAGCATGATCATAGCGTGACCACACGAGAACCTCCTCAGTGTGTGGCTCTGCTTCGCTGCGAAAGCGCTCGGTCTTCTCAGGCGTCGTCGTGGCCGAGGACCCGCGACTTTTCACCTGGCAAAAAGCATCGCCCGAAGACTGCGACACCGGCTCCGCTGCTAACCAAGCGCACATCCCACAGTTGTTAGACTCAGAACTCGTTTCAACGAGAAAAGGAAGGCTGCAAGGTCCTCCCAGTTCCGCGTTCCGTGCGCCTTCGTCGCTCCCAGCTCCGAACCTCAGAACCGGGCGGCCAAAAATTCAACGCCTCCGTCGCGTCCCGATGCCTCCGGACGACGGCGGCGGCGCTCTCGCCCGACGCGGGACGCGGCACGCCTCCTTCGCGGTGGGGGTCGAAGTTCTTCAGCAGCGTCACGAGGTACGCTGGCCTTGGCAGAAGGACGCAGGCTCCCCCCGCTTTGCGGTCGCGCCAAGGACGCACGCCAACAGCGCGCCGCAAAGCGCGGTCGCCAGCAGTGCACCGCACATGGATGGCCAATTCTTAAGGTCGTTTCTTTCAGCTCAATTACATGGACCACAAGGGTTTCTTCGCGTTCGGAGTTTCATGCTCAGCCAGCGCGCCAATTCTTCACGTCCTTCGAAACATTGCGGCCCATGGAAATTCACCGTGCTGTTCAACCCCAAATAGCAAAGCATCCACCAAGATCTGCTCCACAAAGCACGAAGATGAGCTCCGAAACGGCCCCCCGTCTCGACCCTCGTTGATCGGTTTTCGGGTAGTTTTTTCCCTCATGGAAAGCGTTGATGGGGACGAACGGCCACCAGTCAGACCAGTTCTCATTGCTTTTCGTGGAGGAAGGCGTGGACCAGAAACCAACTGCTGTTCTGCTGTTTCCTAGCAGTACCCTTTCTTGGGGCTGAAGCGCTGAGAGGAATGGACGTGGACCAAGAGTTCGACAGTGAAAATCTCTTCTGTCGAAACTCTAAAAAGTTGGTGAGAGGACTAGAACCCAACTAAAAGCACGAAAAGCGCCAAATGACTCAATGATCTCTCAAAGTCATCTCTGTCAATATAGTCACTTGCAATGCGGTCAATCAATCGTCCCAAATGCCGAGAAGTTGGACACGTAAAGATGAAAGGCTCAAATCGCCCGTTGTTTGCTTCGAAGCCGTTCGTACAACGAATGATTGCGTTCGTTCGCACAACTTCAAGAAAAATGGATGTAAATCTCTCTGAACCAGACTGTCTATAGTTTGCCCAGCAGCAAACGCCGCTTCACCCCCTCCCGCGGCTCCTGTCTGGTCCTGTGCATGGTGCGCCTGGCATCAAAAGAGAACAAAAACAAAAAACACAAGGCCCCCGCCTCGCCCCCGGCGGTCCGACGCGATCAAGGTCAAAGCACGTCACATGTCAGGGCCACGCGTGAACCATGGTCAGGGCAGCTTTTAACCGCTGCCTGGCCAATGGAGCCGTGGTGGAAAATTGGTGGGAAAACAACATGTCCCGCAAAGGAGGTTGGCCAGATCTTGCTCCGTTTTTGAGCCAGCTGAGAAAGTCTATGCTATGCTTGAAAACCCACATTGCAACATGGTTCATCCCTCTGATACTCAAAAGTGGTGGCAAAATGCCTAAACGTCGTCCCTACTCTTCCAGATATCCCACAGCGATCAAAAGAAATTACTGTACTTCGAGTAATCCCCACCATGACATTTCAATCATTTGTTTTCATGCCATGGTCCATGGTGAGGAGTCTTGTTGGTTGTGTATTGAAATTGTGTGTTGCGTGCTTGTGTGTGTGTGTGCTTGTTTGGGGTCTGTCGAGGAGCGGAGGAGGAGAAGGAGAAGGAGCTGTCAGACACCACGCTTAAAATTTGAAGAACCCTCACCTGACAGCCTGACAGGCAGGGAAAAACAGCAAGTCTGCCCTCCCTGCCTTCCACCCGTTCCAAACAAAGCATGCAAATGCCTTGGCCAGACTTTTAGGGGGATCGGATTTGCTAACACAGCACAGATCTCAAGTAGGCAGATG